AATTTTAAAATTATTAATGTCTGGAACTCCTATGAGAAGAGGAATGTTTGTAGCGAGCACGATCAGCACCACGATCCCTTTCGCGGTCTCGATGGCGAGTTTGATTCCGATTTCGATCCCGATCCCGATCCCGATCCCGATCACGATGGCTTCTTTCTTTTTCCTTTTCTTTTTCTCGTTCTTTATTTTTACTCACATCTTTATGACTTCTTGAATGATTTTCAGGACTCCTTCGAGGCTCCCGCTTACTTTCAGTTTTAAGATCTCTCTCGTCTTTTTTACTATTGGCTTCCTCTATAATTTTCTCCTTAAAAATTATAAAAATTATAAAAAGTTTTAATATATTATTAAAAATAAATTTCAAGTACTTTAAGATCTTTAATAGTTTTACGAATTAATAAAAATCCAACGTGTTGCTTTCCTGCGAAAAGTAAAAAGTATTTAATAAAAAACATTACAACTCTTTATAAAAAAATTGATGAACTAATAATAATTTACCAATCAAAGAGAATAAAAAATAAAAAACAATCAGACAATATAAAAAACTCGTCTGCCAATTAGATTGTAGAAAAAATAATTAAACCTCAAATCAAATCAACACAACAAAAAGACAAGCGACTTTCGGTAATGCATTTATTGTAATATTAAACATATACAAGCTCGGCTAGCATTTAGTTAATATATGCAAACGAAAAATTTTAATTATACGTCAATAAAGATAATGCATAAAATATATTCACCAATAAATGTAAAAAAGACAAAACAAATATATGCTAAAAAGTAAATTATGAAAAAAATAAGGTTTGTAAAAGAAAAACAACAAATTGTTAATAAAAAGACAATATTAATAATAAGCCAAAAAATTTAAAAAATATTTAACAAAAAACCAATGAACATATATATAAAGCCAATAAAACAATAAATATTTCTAAAAAATATTGAAAAAAATTTGATTTAGTTTCCATGAAAAGCAATCAACAAATTAGCGGAAAAATAAAGAGAGCCCGTAAAAAACAATTAACCAATAAAAAAATTATAATCATGTCTACGCCAATGATATGAACCTTGCAAATGAGCATCGACGCGAGCTTGGATATCTCCCACTACTAAAGTAGCAGAGCATATATCGCAAACTTCCATCTGCTTCCCCACAACGGCAGTTGCTCCACTAGCCTAACAGTTCAGTGTTTATTATTATTAATGAGAAATATAAATTTACTGGTGCATATAAAAAAAAACCGTTAATAATATAAAGAATTTTTTTAAAAAATTATAAGTTATAAAGAAAATTACCAATATAAAAGAAAATATGAGTCATTTACAAAACCGAAAATACAAAAAATCCAAAAAAAAAATTAAATTTTCATATTTTTCAAATTGTAAACATGAAATTAATAATATTGGCAAGTGCCAATGGAAAATAATAAAAATATTAAAACAAGAATAAAGAAAGATCAAAAAAATAATAGCTGAATATTAAATTATTAATTAATATTAAAAAAATATGCTCATGACAAAAAATTCTAGTAAAAATTAACCGATAAAATATTAAATATAGCGAAGCTATAAAACAAAAAAAAATACATAAAAAAACGTATAAAAATTAAAAAATAATTTAAAATTTATTTTAGTAAATTCATAAATTAAAGTTTTAAAGTATAAACAAAAATGCAATGAAATTTACAGCTGTAAAAGAAATAATTAAATTATCAAATACCAAATAAAAAAATACAAATGAAATTTCATGTAAACTATATTTTAAAGAAGTTTTTTTTTAAGATATCAATTAATAAAAAACTAAATATAATAAAGTCAAAAAATTAATACATAATAAAAACGAAAATAAATTTAGATAAAAAATAAAATAATTAATCGAATAAATAAATACTTTTATTAAAATAAAAGAAGTCTATTATAATGCGATTTAAAAGAAAAATTAACAGCTGTAAAAAAATTCCTTCGATTAAAATTTCATGCAATCTTTTAATAAAAATTAAACCAATAAAAGTAGGAGAAAATAAAGTAAATTGTACATTGGATAGAAAAATAGTAATTAATTTTTTTTTAAAAAAAACTTTACCAATAAGAAATGTATATCGCATCAAAAAATATAATGATTTATTTTTGAATTAAACCAACATTTAAAATGGCTTCCTTTTGCTTCTTTAATAAATCAACGCTTCTCATAAGCGACTCCACTTCATCAATCTTGCCTTCATTTCCAAGTCTTTCGACCTTTAATATTTATTATTATATCTATTTTATTTCGTTTATTATAAAATATCTCTTTTAATAAACAAAAATATTTCAAATTATTAAATTATTAAATAAATTTAAATTAAATATAAAAAAAAATTTTATTTAAAATTTAAAAAAAAATAACAATTTATTAATAATAGTAACTATGTTAATATATATTTTATAAAAAAAGTTTAACAAACTTGAATGTACAGAAATAAAAAATATTATTTTTATAAATAATAAAATTATATATAAAATTAAAAAACTCATAAAAGTAATCAAAATAACAGATAAAATATTTATAATTTTGATAAAAAACATTTATAATTTTATAAAATCCAAAAAATCGATTAAAGTAAAATTTATATAAAATTTTTTTTATTAATTAATAAATTGTCTTATAGCTTTTTTAACATATAAAAGTAAAAAAATATCCTAATATAGATTTCCTTCTTTAAAAATTTATGATTGTTAAGTGGAAATAAAAGTGATAAAAACTTTAAAAAATTTAAAAAAAAAATTTAACGATTTGGGCTATTTATAAATATAAAAATCATAAAATAAACTTTTATAAAAATAATATTAAGAAAATAAAAAATAATTAATATACAAAAAATCTATATAATTAATAATAATTAATTCTTAATATTTACCAAAAAATATTATTAAATAAAAAATAAATAATAAAAATTAGCAGTTTGCTAAAAATTATTATAAATACAAAAAAAATAATTTAAAAAATTATATATATATATAATTTTTAAATTATACAAAATATATGTACTAAAATAAAGTATCATATATATTATCAAACTTAAAACTAAATTTTCTATATAAATTAACTATAAAAATTAAAAATATTAAATAAAATTAAAAAAAATTAATATAAACTCAAGACTTCCATTAAGTATATTTTAAAAATTATTTAGCAAATATAATGAAAATTTCAATGTAATGGCTTAAATATAAATTATTGAAAGAATTTTTCCTTATAAAATAAAATCTAAATAAAATACTTATCTAAAAAAATGAAAATAACGAAAATTAAAAAAAATATAAAATTATAAAAAAATTCAGGATTAAATTATTAAAATTATACAATAAAATAATTTTTAGAGAATTTTTCTATAAAATAAACTACCATAATTTTAAAGAATAATAAAACTTCTGTAATATTTTCTAATATAACTATTATAAAATAACTTAATAATTCTTTCATAAGATTATTACATAAATATAATATAAAATAAATTAAAACGTAAAAAAAATAAAAACTTTTTCTAAAAGTTCATCAATCTGATTGGTAACGTCTCGCACTTTTTCCTGATCAACTCCAGTTTCAGATAACTAAAAAATTTTAGATTATATTTTAAATTATATAATTAAGAAAATACAAAAAAAATAAAATAAAAATTTGAATAATATATTCTTTTTATTAAAAATTAAAAATTAAATTTTTACATTAAATTTATAAATATAAATATATAAAATATAGTAAAAAATAAAATGTAAAATTAAGAAATATAATTTTTAACCAAAACTCTAAAATAATTTAGTCTCCTTTGAAAAAATCTAAAAAAAAATTTAGTTTTTTATAAATTTAAAAAAAATGCAAACAATCAATAATTAAAAATTACTTAAAATTAGAAACATTAAAAAATATACACAAAGAAAAAGATCAATAAATGTATAAATTCTTTATTAGATATCAATAAAAATTATTTAAAAGATAAAAATAATAAAAATTATAAACTAAATTTTATATAATAATAATGAAAGATAAAGAAAACATAAAATCGTAAAAAAAAATTTAATAAAAATAATACAATTTTTATTAAATTATTATAAAATACATTCAAATTTATTATAAATCTATAAAAATTTAATATAGAAACTATTTTATAGAACTTTAAACATGAAGCAAAAAAATATAAAAATTACCGATAAAAAAAATTGGAGAAAAATTAAAAATTTTCATAAAAAAATAATAATAAATTAAATTAAATTAAATTAACTAAAAATTTAAAACAAATAAAAATTTTAAGTATTTTAATTTATATGAACTAGAGTTCAAAAATATAAAATACTTCTTTATGTAAGTCGTAAACAGTTTTATAAAAAAGTATGCAAATTTTTTATTTCAATAGAATCAACACTAACTTTTAAAAAATAAAAATAAAATGAGAAAAATAAAAAAAATAAAATATAATCGAATTGTTAATTTGTGGAACCTGCAAAGTCTCCTGTTCTTTAATTCTTTGTTTCGCTTTTTGAATCTGCCAATCAATTTCTTTAACAAGCCTTTCAAGTCCAGCGATCCAATCTTCCTCGTAACCCATTTTCTTATACTTGCTACTTTTTTCATAACTAAAGTTTAATTAAAAATTTATAAAAAATTTAATATTTACAAAATTAGGGATTGAAAGTATAATATAGAAAAAACGGAAAAAATTAAAATATAAAACACGTTAAAAAAGCAAATACTCCAAAAAAATTAACTTTTTAAAAAAATATAATATAAAAATTATAATAAGTTAAGCAATTTATAAGAAACTTATTCTAATAAATTAAAAAATTTGTATGTATACGGTAATAATTTTTTTCAAAAAATAAAATGGGTACTTAATAATTTTAAAAAAATTAAAAGAAATGAAATATTGGAAACGTAAATTTTACAACTTTTGTTAATTAATATAATCGATGTTTAAAAAAAATAAAAGCGTACTCAGTAAATTTCAAAGATTTAAAAAAATTAAAATTATAATTTATACCTTTCTTTAAAAAAATAAAAAAAGATCATACCCAAAAAATAAATATACAAAAAAATATCCTTATAATAATATAATAATAAATTTAATTAAAAAAATTTAGAGAATGTTAAATAACAATGAAAAAAGGGATGAAAAAAAATGAAATTATATTATACACTTAACAACTTTAAAAATACATAAAAATAAGTAAAATTAACTAAAATATATACTTAATGACATTTTTTAAATAATAAAAAATATATTTTGAAATAAAAAAGAAGTAAAAAATAAGAAAAAAATTATAATTAAAAATCTTTAAGTAAAATTAAATAAGTTAAAAAATTAATATATATATGACTATAATTTAAACTAAAATAAAAATAAAAAATAATACTAAATGTAAAATCTAAAGTTAAGTTTGAAAAATTAAAATATATAAAATATGGGAAAATTAAATTTAAATTTAAAATTCGAATTGTTACTCTGTCTTTAAGCCTTGATCGTGTTCGAAACGGCAAGGGCCTAAATCTTGCTTCGTGTTGGTGAATAGTGTGTGCGGACATAAGCCACATAGAAAAGGTTTGCAAACCTTTAACACAATTTCAGATAAATTTTATAATCCCAGCGCGAAATTTATATAAATGCATCGAATAAAAATTACCGCGTACTAGAATAAACAAAAGATAAGGTGAACAAGAAAACCTTAAAACTACTTGTTTGGAAGATCTCAGAAATTTTAAAAAGGACGCAATATTTTCTTACCGAAAAACATCATCTATTTGTTAAGAGTTACTAAGTCTAAAGTTGTACAGCTACACACTATTTTGAAGATGGAGAAAATTTACTTTGCGATCCGACCAGTGAGCAAGCTTATCTTTACTATTAGGAGCAACGTTTCTGTTTTTTCCTAAGAGTTCAGCGACTAGTGCTCTATTTGCTACATATAATAGCTTATTAACGTTTAATAATAAAAATTTAAAGAAAAAGTACCATCCATCTTGACTTAGTGTAAAAAAAAGTGTGATAGGCTTAACTATCTTCTTTTATTAAATTTCTTTTTTAAATAAATTATTAAACAAATACTACGATCACAGACAAAATTCGTTACCTGAAGAAAAAAAAACAGGCTCAACAGAGGTAAGCCGCTTAAAAACAACGCTCTCCTGTGGAAAAAAATTCAGATGGAAATAACAATGTATACGCACGTGTTTGAACTAAAACGGTCCAGTTTAAGTATAAGCGTCCTCAAAATTTTAATAGTAAACAATTATTCAAATCTACCATCTCTTTGACTTGAACTTAATATTTTAAATTGTATAAAAGATGTTTTGTTAATCAGATAAAATATTGAATAGGTTACAAATAATTTCTTTTATGTTTATGTGCTTCTAATATGCTTATTTTTTTTAATGTTTTCACCTTATATTATTGAAAAACATTGATTGAAAGATTCACTAAAGTTATGAATAAAGCTACCTCTTAAATTCTGTGAAGCCCATAGCCAATAAATAATTCTGTTTAAAAAACTATGCATTATTCTTTATTAAGCATTTAACAGTTTTTAATTACAACAGAAGAAAGTATTAAGTTTGCTCTTCCCACGTAAACTAAAAGTTATCAGGGCAACAGGGCTTATGTATATTAATAACTAATGTTCTAACTATTTTTTAAAAATGCAATTTACCTACTTTAATTATCTAATTACAGTTTGTATAGTTTTGCAAAAACAGTATTCATATATTTATTAAAGGAGACTTTAAGCTGTATTAACTAAATTAGTTTTTCTTTTGATTATAAAGCCTTGTACAAAGTTCTTATAATAGTTACGATATTCTTTTAGTTTATAATAAAGTTAGATTAAAATAACATCTTAAAAGTTTTAAACTAACTTGCTTGCCAGAGAAAGCAGGTTAGTATTAGATAAAAAAAAAACAATTTATCTGTGGACTATGTAAAAAAAGTAGAGAAAGTTGTAAATAAATTTTTTTTTTAGAGGAATCAAAGATATAAAAACACAACTCAAGTTATTTACATATAAACATTTAGTTAGAAAAAAGTCACATCCTTAGCGTTTGGAGGTAGAAAACGTGACTTTATAGTTTTAAAACTATAGTTAATCAAGTATGAGCTTGTAAGCTCTTTCAATAATATGTGTAAACATTTAAAAATTATAAGCCATGGAGGGCGTGTAGCGGGGGGAGCCACTTTGGGGTTGTGTAAAGTTCTAAAACTATACTTTCATCAGTAACATAATATATAATTTTCTTTGCAGAAGACTATTTAAAATATATATTATTAGTTTTGTAAGGGTACTACTTCTTTTATAACTTAAAGATATAATATATACATAATAGTTTTCTAAACTAAAGCTACATTAAATACTTAAATTAAAACACCGACCCTCTAACCCACCGTAATCTATAGCAGTAAAGTGTCAAGCTTAATAAAATACTTAACGCAAGAGCGGGTTTAAGCAAAAAATTAATGGAGTAACAAAATAGAAACTCACAAGAGCGTGGAAAGTAACACTCCTAAATAGTAGTTACTAAGTACAGTAATTTTTTAGATAGTAATAATGGTTACTTTGGAGCTCGAAATCGTTTTCTTAAAATAAAAATCTAATTTTATGAAAATAAGTAACGAGAAATCTTAAAAAGGCAAAGATGAAATTAGCATTGCTTACTTATTTACTGTTGTAATGTATAACCAAACTGTAGTTTGAGAGCTTGTCTTTCTTTTAATTATTTTTCTATATGTTATTTCGCTTATATTTTTTAATTTTTATTATTTTGTTAGATTTATAAATAGTTATATTTTATTTTGTTTGAATGCTAAATAAATAAAAAACTTTGTTTTTTAGTTGATCCTGAGTGGAGTTTCTTGTGCAAGCTAGGAGACTATGGATAATAATAATTTTTGTCGGACACTGTGTTTATTTTACATGTGTATATTGTTTAAATAGTACTTACAGGGACTTTCTAAAAGATATAATATAAATTAAGTTCAATTCCTATTAATAATACACGATTTTAAGCTGGTCTTACTTCGCAAATAAGTTTATGCAACTCTTAAACAAAAGTCGCTTAAGCATAAATGGCCCTTAAATTTGAAGCAGCCTCACCGAACTGTGGGTGAAGCAACTTGTAAATTTCTGTCGGTACCAAAGCGTTTAACGTTAGTTTTTAGATTATTATTGAGGGGGACCATCATCGGATATTGTTAAAGTCTAATGTAAATCCAAAATACTGGATTGAGAAGTGTCGCTCAGAGATTAAATGTACTGACACCCAAAACATTGCGGGTTTGATTCTTTAGTTACGCAACTCTCTTTCCCATTTTTTGCACAGTTAATTAATTACTTCCTGTGAACTGCACTGTAGTCTCCAGCAACTCCCTAGCGTGCTAGCACTTACTTTTAATTAAATATTACTTCATAGATCACAGTTCAATAAGCTCGCTAAATCTCTACACCGCTTTTCAGAGTCTAACGATAGTTTCTAAAGGCAACCCCTACAATAGTATACATTGCGACATAAAATAATCACTACCGTACTAAAAAGTTGAAGAACTGCGCTTGGTAACTGCTAGAACAGCTGTCGTTTACTAATGACAAACCCCAGCCAAGATCACTTCGATCTCACTTTTATTATATGACCCAATTCCTTCGCTGGGCTTAGCAAAAATTAGTCGAGACAACGGTGACGTGATCTAGCACCCCCGCCTCCTATATGTACACAAAATAAAAAACGAAATCAAACGGCTACAAAGGCATCCATCCCAATTTTTTTTCCAATGTATATTGTTAGTTTGTTTTCTTTGCTGTCTTGAGGGTTTCTGTTTCTGTTTAAGCCGTTTTCGACTTCTAGCATCACTCGTTTAACATATTTATAATTTAGGTATTGAATTGTGGATATAAAATGTTGCTCTCTTACTGCAGTCTGTATATGATGTCGATTTCTCATACTCTAAACAAATCTAAATTCGAGAGAGGGCTAACCTATCTTGTGAACATTTTTGGACACTTTAACAAACTTTATATTCAACTAGAATGAAATAAGAGGTTTACGCAGGCAAACTTTGCGTGTTTATTTGCAAACTGGAGCTGTGGATAGGAAGAATTTGAAGCAACAACTTATTCTGCTTTTCCGATGCTTAAAACTTCCATTGACGACAACAATTACTCGCATATCACAGTCGTAGTTCAACAAAATGTTAAACATCACCCCCGCAAAATTAAAAAGGAGTTTACAAGGTTCTCGGGATGCAATGTCGACGAGACGGAAGCTGCTCGAAAATTAATCTGAAACCCTTGCCCCTTGCAGTTTCAACGTAGAAAAGCTTCCTAACGAAATCCAAGGTCATCCCCATTACGAAAATGATAGCAACTGCAAGGATACTTTCGAATCAGGTATTAACCTCAAAAAGTTCTGATACAAAAAAGCAATCTCATGTAGTAAGTTTCGACATCTTGTCATGTTTCGACAACTTTTTTGTGCAAAGAGGGTTTTCCCAATCCGCCTCTGGTCAAAAATCAGCAGAGGAATCGATTACCCGCTCCGACAACATAAATTTAGCTTTAGCAGCAGTATCACTCCCAGAATTTCGCAACTAGTAAATAATTCAAGAGCTAAGATCACCATTTTTTTTATAAAATATTGCATTATTATAACATGTATTCGTGCATGTCCATCCTAGGGATATTACAATTGGAGTGTAGTAAGCTACCTACTTTAACTCAAGTATATCAACTATGTATTAAAGGACTAGCACTAAATACAATAGCTAAGGTACATTTAAGTACCCAGCAAGTGTCGCCATAATTCTTGAGAATCGAAGAAAAGTAGATGTATTTTTCATAAGGGGGTTTCACCACATATACCTTTGCCTCGGTGGTCCGCTACATTTTAAAGGTCGGGGGCCCTAATAGCGTCTCTGATTGGTGTAATTACAAGTTGTGATTGGTCTATTTTCGGATCACACTAACTCCATGAGGTCTTGTGTTTTATGGCACATGTGTTTTCACTATAAATTTGTCAGTTTTTAGATTCTTTGTGGTTAAAAAAAATTAAAAGTTTTACTTTTTACAATATATGTAAGTTATTTTTTTTAGTTAATCCTTATTAATATTTAAGTTATTGTTTTTTTGTTTAAAAGAGTTTTATTTCGAATGTTTTTTATAGCCCTTGATAATTAGTAATTTTTCTACTAGAGAAGAGAGATGAGAACGAAATTTATTAGGTTAACTTTTTATGTAGTTTGCTTGAGGTGTAAGAGGATTAATAATTTTGTAGGTCAATCAGAGAATATCATAGACTTTAGATATTAAAGAATTAACAGAAACCTCATACTAAACTTATTTCTATAAACTACTACTAATAATTTTTCTTTGTTTACTTATAAAAATAATTTTTTTTAATTATTAAATTATTACTAAAAGGTCTTATAACTTCGATTAATTTAGATTTTTTTTTTTACACTTTAACCTGGTTTCTTAGTTTGCATTGTATTGGACGGGATTACTTTAAAGGACAGCTATTTGTCCAGTACAAAATCATTATCTTATCAGTGTTTTAATTTCGGTCCTAGTGAACTACTTATAAATTTGTATAAACAGTTCTTAGAAAAGAATTTTTCTGAAATGTTTATTGTAAAACAAGTAAAAAATAAGTTATATATTTATGTTTTAGAAAAACTTTAAGCCTTTGTAAATAATATTGAAGTGTTGGTACTGGTGATAATCCGTATAATAACTTATAAAATCCTTTTTAGATACACTTTTACTGTACTGCTGCCTATAACTTTAAACATTTATTTATTATATCTTGTAGCGTACGTTGATTGCATAGTATATTTAGTATTGACCTTAGTGTGAGTAATATATTAAATAGGTTAAGTAGTTTATCTTCTTTTTATTTAATATTCACTATTAGGTTGTCCTTAAAAAGAATTCAGGACTCATTTGTATCCTATGTTCAGTAATTTGTTATTTATTACAATGTATACTCAAAGGACTATTTTTTGGCAAAAGTTATGTTTTACTCTTTGTTTTTAGGTGGCGACTAAATCCTTTACTATTACAGTGGTTTGGTATGTGTTAATTACGTTTACAACTGTTAAAATTATTATAATAGTT